GGCAAGTACCAGCAGTTGGTGAAGTATGTTGGCACCGTGCAAGACCTTTTTAAGAATGGCACCGCAAAAGACGAAATGGTCGAAGCAGCCACCCGTTTTGGATTAGCTGGCGTTTGCTTTGGAGGGGCGCTGCAGGGACATCAGAGAGATTAGGTTGCAAGAATCTCGCCGGACATCAGCATCATTGAGTCAGCGCACGGGGGGATGGAGGGGGGCGGCGACAAATGCTTTTAAAAAATTAGACGCGCGTATTTTGTTTTTTGATAGCGCTCCAAGAAAGTAAATTCTCTCCATGCCAAATAGTTTCAAGACTAGACCCTGAGGTTTGAAAATCAGAGGGAAAATATTTGGTGTTGGATGGCAGCTCCAAAAAAATCTAAAGATCGCACCAGACAAATAAATTCTCTTGACGCCAATACTTAAAAACTAAACCCTGCGCCCTAAACCCGCCCGAGTTCTCCAAAAAATAAACGCTTACTAGGCTTGAGGGCTTAGGGTTTTAAAGGGTCTTAGGGGTTTAGAATTTTAGGTCTTAGGGTTTAGATACCGCCTGCGCCCCAAGCTGTCTTGGTCAGGGCCCCGTCAGGTTTCAGGAAAGGCTCGCTTCTTCGCGCAGGAGGTCTACGCTGGAGGCGGGAAAGACGCTGAAAGAGTGTCTAGGGCGCTGAAATAGTGCCGAGGGCGCTGATTAAGTGCCGAAGACAGAGCGCTGCGCTAGTGCTGGGGTGCTGAACAAGTGCTGTCATCCTGGCAGGGTGTGGCCGGGTCGCTCTCCTGGCAGGACTGAGCTTGGGCCGCTGGGGCACTCCTAAATATTCATGAAGATGCTGGGGTTCAGGGTTTAGGGTTTACACATCGTGGGTTCAGGGTTTACAGATCCCGCAGAGCCTGACAGGAGTACGTAATCAGATAATGCCCTCATTGACATCTGGTTCTCTTCCCAGGCCTAGCATGAAGGTTTAGGGTTTAGGGTTGAAGCTTTAGGGATTAGGTTTAGGGTTTCTAGGGAAGTCTTCTACAATTCTACAATTTCGAATTATCATCCGTACCCTAAACGCATCGCCTCCGCCAGGGCATTCCAGATTTCGTCATGGCCTTGGCGAGGCGTCCCAGGAGTGTTGCTCACTCAAGGAGTATACAATGGGGACCCCGTGAAATGAGTCATGGTTTGGCACGTATCATCTTGACACTTACTCAGCGTCGGATCACTTGCTCAGCGTCTCCTACCTAACCCTAAACCCTGCACCCTTTTTGAGGCTGGAACTGCAAGATGCCATTATCCCCACGCCGATGTCTCGAAGCCATTGTTGTTCCTCGGCGACATGTTGAAAACTAGATGCGCAGGGCTTTCCGGAAATGTTGTAAAGTGAGCTTTTGCTTCGGAGGCTGCGTTCTGAGACACTGTGCTCGGAGTCTGTACATTAAATTAAAAACCGGCAGCCTGCCACAACTGGTGTGGACTTTCACGTATGTTGTTGTATCATAGCAAATGTAGCGTAAGAAGTGTCGTTCTTGTTCCAATTACTTCTCTCTTGCAACACACTGTGCCCGGCTGCAGTCTAATAGCCGAGGGATGTAGCGAGGATCTGGGAGCTTTCAAGAAGCATTGCGTCTAAGTTTGGCAATCAATGATCGCTTAGTTTCTTTGACTCCTCAAGCTCCTAGCCTGGCTGAGCGCAGCAACAATCTACAAGGGTCTGTGGGATAGGAGAGGCCGAGAGCTTGAATCTAGCTAGACTTAGAAGAGATCAGAGGAACTGAGGCCAGCGCGCTCAGGGTTTAGGAGTATAAACCGGGGCTATTTATGATCTGATACAAGCTTCGCCTGCTGCCACTTCATGTCGTAGAGGGTTTCTCACCTGAAGCCCGAAGCTTCCCAAACGCTAACTTGGGGGCACAGACTGCCTGGCCTGCTAGTCCTTCTGCTTCTTCTCCTTTTTCTTAAGCTTCTTGTCCTTCTCCGAGCCCGCTTCTCCATCCTGACGCAATCCAACATTCAAGACCTACAATGGGCGCTCAACTGTTGATCTGCCTTGAACTTTGGAGAGTCCTCACGCTTTCTTGCCTGGCTGCTCGCTTATGTGTAATTGTGTTCGAACTAAGCAAACTGCCTTCTTCTTCGGCGGCCCCTCGGCCTTGTCTTTTGTGACCTAGTGACCGAAAATTACATTTGCTGTCTTCGAACCTTCAGCCCGCGCCTCCTTGCCCACTTTCGTCTTCTTGACGGGCTCACCCTCATCAGTCTTCTTCACGGGCTCTCCCTCATCAGTCTTGTTGACTGGCTCCCCCTCATCAACCTGCAGGAGTTGCGCAGAAAGCAAGTCAACAGCAGCGCCGAAAAGAAACCTGGCCTTGGTCCCACTGGCTACGGTGGCAGCCGCCTGTCCGGCCAGCAGCTCAAGAAAACGAGCTGAAAGCATATACCTCTGCGCCTTCTTGAACTCGTCCTCGTAGAAGCTGACCATGATCTTGTAATCCTGACGCTGATCTCAAGGCTAGGGAAGGAGTCGCTGTTAAGCTTGCTTGAGCGCTGACTGCCATGCCTCCTTGGCGTTCTTCAGCTCCTTGTCCAGAGCTTCATTGGCCTGAAACGAGAGGCGTTCTTGAAGCTTCATTGCATTGAGGGGGCGAGGTGGCGCCCAGCCTTCTTCAGCTGGACCCGCTCGTTCCGCAGCTCATCGATCTTTGCCGTCATCTCCTTCTCCTGCTTCACGAACTTGTCGTTCGCGTCCATCCATGGCTTCAAGTCTGCTGCGGTCGCCTTCTTTGTCTTCTGCTCCTCCGCCTCCAGCTTGGCCTGCAACGTCCGGATCTCGGCCTTGAAGCCATCCTCAGCGGTCTTGTGCTGGGCCTTGAGAGCATCGATCTGCTCCTGGTTGACTTCCTCCAGCCTGTCCTCAAGCCTCTTTATGTCCAGCTTCGCCCGGTAAAGCTCGTGCCGGCGATCCTGGGCCTTGTCCGCCCTGTGGCCAGGCGGATGCTGCCAGCAGTGACTTTGGGCCTGATCTTGGTTGTCCTGCGCGCTGCCCCTGGCTGCCCTGAATCTCAGACTGCGGGCCCTGCCACTGCTGCTCCTGCCACTGCTGATCCCACTGTGTCTGCCACTTTGGTGCCATGGCGAGTCGGGGAGAAGCTAGGGACAAGCTAGGGAAGCAAGCAAGAGCTTCTGTCACTACATCGTCTTGCAATTCAACCCTATGTTGGCAAGTACCTGGTAAGGTAAGATAGGTAACATGACGGATCCTGTGCTTGCGGCCACAACCTGCACGCATTGAGTGCTCAAGTTAACGTTCACACAGAATCATGAATCCAATTCAATGCAGAGAGCAAATGGAGACCATGATTTTGAGACCTTGAGGTTCTGGCTCGGAGAGCAGCGCATCAACCAGTTCAGGAGACCTGGCGCCAATTTATGATCATCACCCATTTCACTTGATCGCTGTCACTTAGACAACCAAGCTGGCTACCATATGCACCGCGCTGCTATGACTACTCCTTTTATTAGTTTGCCATCGCAAATCATTATTAGCGTTCTATCCCCGGAGGCATTGTCACAAGTACTGCATAGCGTTGGGAAGCCGTTGCGGAGGCCTTGCTGCATGGGGCGCAGGCGCCGCCGCGAAGATGGATTGAGGCCTGACATCAATTGAGCAGTGTGCTAGTGTACTAGGCCAGCTGACACTTCTGCAGCGTCCTGACACTTCTGCAGCGTCCTGACACTTCTACAGCGTCCTGATACTTCTACAGTGTACTGACACTTCTACAGCGTCCTGAGATGTTTCATAGACACAGCAGACATGATGTCTCAGAATGACTAATACGCTCGCAGTTCGAAGGAAATTAGCACTCTCTTTATATTGAGGCCGTGGCCGGGAAGAGCGTCATCAGTCGGACACCTGGCACTGACAGCGACAGCCTTGGAATTCTGTCCCTTCTAATCCTGGTACCGAATCAGGACAACCACCCTTCCTCGTAGCAGCGCTACAATTCGAGTGATTCTTCTCGCTTACATATCAAGGGGTAGACAGGGGCAGATCCACTTGGAGGTTCAGGGTATTTATAACCCGGTTATAACCTTGGTAACTGTACTTGGGGGTATTACAATTGGCTTGTAAGTGCAGGTAGAGTTGGGTTCTAAGTACCCCGAACCTCCAAGCAGATCCTAAACACCCAAACTAGAAGCTTGCTTCTGAAAACGCTGAAGAAGTGTCCCTGACGCTGAAGAAGTGTCCCGCAGCTGCGAGAAGAGTTATGTGACAATAATATTGTCACAAGCTGAATGGGTGCTCAGGATTGGTGGCACCATCATGGGCTGTACGCCTCCCATTCTACTGAGAGGCAGGGAACTTTGAGAGTTCGTGCAGATGAGAAGCCGAATGTGACTGTATACATCGAGCGTGCAATTTGAGAGGAGCCTATCCAAGCATGGTAGGAAAAGGCCCCGTGAAAGATTCAGACTAAGAGCCACGAATTTGTCCGTCAGACTCTGGACTAGCATAAGTAGGTAGCCTAGGTTGTGGAAGGTTCAGACCTATAGTTGACTGAATTTAGCAGCTGCCGCCGCACAGAACCCAGGGCAAGCCAAGACATGATGCCTACTGTGGAAATGAGGTATATGTGTACGGTAGGTAGATTGAAAGTAGTAGGGGCATGTCGCCTAATGGGGGCTGCTGGTTGAGGTGGTTAGTTGAAGTAGGCTGGGTTTGGCGGGTCGCCTAATGGGGTATTAGGCGCTTTCCCTAAGTTTTGCGTGGAGGCGCTGCTAAGGGAGGTCGCCTTTTCCCTCCAGCGCTGTTTGTGTTCAAGCGCAAAGTAAGATGACGGTGCTCAAGAAGAGTCGAGCGCTGTGCATGCATGACCGCGCTGCCGATGAGACTGGCAAGTGCTCGCAATGTTTCTTCGAGCGAAATGAGTCCAGACTCCTGGACGAGTTTCCGTGGCTCGAACGGCAGGGCTCCGGCTTTGGATGCTCCGCGTGTCGCCAGTTTTACAAAGGGAAGCCACTGCTGGCACACGCCCATGGGGGTGCATGGCGTGAAACAGCCATTCGGGCCCCCACAGCGTTGCAGCCGCGTGCGCTGCAGAAGCATGCTGATTCTCAAGAACACCAGGCCGCGACGGAGCAAGTGACAGATGCAGATCACCGTTCACCTTCATACCAGGACTTCCACAAGGTGTTGGCTCATCTGAGGAAGGAGACGGTAGGCAGAGCAGGAGTATCAGGTGTGGCAGGGCACAAGAAGACCCGCCGAATGGCATGGTGCTTGGCCGAAGCCTCGCGTCGCCAGAAGCATGAGTTGTGGCGTTCTGGTTCTGGAGCCGACGGACTTCCGATTCTGGCGTCGGCCACGCTGTTCCAGGACGCCCGAGCAGGGAAGCTCAGCATTCGGTTCACAGCTGCGAATTCCGCCATGCAGAAGCGCAGTGGGCATATGTACACCGTGGATCTGAAGGATTTCAGCACAGATTCAATTGGGCTCATGAAAGCGACGATGTTTGCTTTGAAGGCGTTCTGTGCTCTTGGCCTGCATCCTCCTTATCTTGATCCGAATAGAAAGTGTCCGGCTCCAGACGAGAACTTTCATGTGTGCCAGCAACTGCTGGCCAGCGTTGAGATGTTTTGTTCGGATGCTGCCTCCGACGAAATTAGGGCGGGACATATGTTGGCTGGGCAAGACTCCGTGCACCGCGAGTACTTGCCAAAGCTGCCGAACCTGAAGCTAGTGGTCAGGGACAGGCCTCACGCAGTACGTCGAGTTTTGACGAGAGGATGGAAGCCATGTGGCTTCATGGAGAATGTGTCCTCTTGCTTTGTTACCTCCAAAAGTAGCCCTGTCAACAAAATCCAGCACAGTCACATCTTCCAGAACATGTTCGCCGTCAACATCAAGAACCTCGACGTTGATTTGAAAGCTGTTCGGAGTCACCCGCACATTAAAGATTTGTCGTACGCTCCACATCGCTTCGAATCAACTCAGCAACCTCTAGCTCGCATTGTGCTCTTCTTCCACGCCTTCATCCTCACAGTGACCCAGATTGCGTGGGAGCGTAAGCATGAAGATGCTGGAAAAGAGATGGCGCAGTTCATGCATTGGTTGGGCGACGAGAAGTGTCTAATGGCTGCGATGATGGCGGACGCAGCAACAGAAGCAACGGAACTTCTACGCTTGGTGGACTACCAAGGATTCCCCATCGACGAGCTTGGCGACAATGTGGTCGCTTTCAAAGATCGGATCCGAAAACTGTTCTTCGGCGTTGAACCCTCTTGCCTTGCCACCGGATTCACAGCCCATATGATCAAGCTGCTGGCGCGCGAACACTTGTTCACATTCCCTGGCCCGCGCGGCCAGACTCACAACAAAACCATAGGGCGACACGGCGGGCCTCCCTCACAGATGATACAGAACTGCTTGCAGAGGCTATCAGCGTGGGTGGTTCTCGCTGAGACCACCCTGGATGCAGAGTTGCTGGGGTCGGTTTTTTTTTAAGTAAGTGTGATGTAACGTCCTTTTGCTAAGATGGCGCATGTGGTTTAGGGCTTGCGGGACTTATTGTTAGAATGTAGAGTAAGCATGGAGTGCCCAAGTAGC